GTAACGACGGACAAAAAATCCTCACATCCGTACCCTGAGACGCATCCGGGGATTACTGTGAATGTCTGTCCAAAGTCCGTCCCATTAATATTGTGTACTTTCAACATCTGCTGAGTCTTTTGGGATCTCGGTTGTTTGCATCCAGATGGCAGCAACATTTGTCCTTTCTCGAAATTACCAACACAGTAAATGCATCTCTCGACAAATGTATACGCAATACTTATTCGTACAGGTATCCTAATCAATGGTATGTATCCGTCAAAACTTTTTGTATCCATAGTGTGTAGAGTAGTACTCTAGAGGACAATGTAAGGGACACCTGTGTCCCTGCCGCACTTCAAGGCCCGTAAATGCCTTGGCGCAGGAAGTCCTCCGCCAGTCTACCGTTCCTGCAAGCCGCTAAGTGCTAAAACTTCAGAGACATCATGTAGGTACGAGGTCAGTCCATAAACTCATAAAAAATACAAATCCCACGGAGGTAGAGCAAGCCAAAGCCAACCCGCCCCACCAGGCAGTTTCAGTCAAACCTAAGTCTAAACTGTCAGTCATAATGATGGTATATGCATGTTGGACCCCTCTCCCCAACGCGCTCGAATTGCAGTAACAATTATCATAGAAATCCGCAAACTGCAGCATACTGGCCGTAATTAACCAGACTGCATTAACGGTTGCCAAGAATTTCCCACTCCATCTCAAAAGGTTTGATAGGACCTTTGCGAGACGCATTGTGATAGAAAAGAAAGGACTCCAACTGGATCTGGCCGAGTATAAATATGTGTAGTGCGAAATGATGCTCGATGTGACGAGCATCGCCCAGACTATCGTAGCCAGTGCACCGTAGAGGATATAGCCAAGAGATCTACAACCAAGGCCCTGTCGTGTGCCGTTGTCAACGATATGTACAAGTATATGAATCAAATGGTACTTACTGTAGTCGGAGTAAAATATACAACCAGTACCGCAGCTCCAGTTGTTGCCCATTGCAAAGCTATGGACAGGAGCGACGCCATGAACATACGGAAGAATATCCCTGACGCCCAGGGGTTCCGTACTCCGTATCCAGGTGCTGCGTATCGAGGAAGTCTACAGTAAGCATTGACTTCGGACGGGTTTCCAGACCTGTTGCTGGGCTCAACAACGTTCTTCCCGCCCGCGTTCTTCCATATATCACCCGTCCTGACTGGTCTATGCATTCTGGAATTGTTGGAGGCCATTAGAAAAGCATCGAAGACATCCTCCGCCGACCGGGACCATGGGATGGCCCTGGCATAGTTGTAGATAGGTGGAATTAAGCTTTCGTCAGGAGACGAAGAGTATTCCAAAGTGGAATCAATGGATATTGCTCGTCTTTCGGAAAGGTCTGATGCCTTTATAACTCCATGATAAGTCGCTACAAATGCCATTGCATCTGCGTTGTCCATGGCCCGTTTAATGCGCACATAGTCACACTTTGGGGATAGCTGCAGCCAACCTATAACGATTGGTATGAGCCACAACCAAATCGACCCCGCGCCTTGACCGTTAGAGACAAGATTGCCGTTGATATCCGATATTGAACCGATGAATGCCAACAGGTATGCAACAATAACCCAAGCGATAGATGTTGCAGATGCGATGGACCAGGTGAGAGTATAATCGAGGGAATCGGCAATTTTCGGCCACCAGTCGTCATTCTCTGGCAGGACAATGAGGGAACTGAGCAGCGAGTCTTCATTTGTTATTTTCAGTGGTGTTTGCTGAAGGCTTATAAAGATGCGGACGGCGTGTTTGGCGTTGGGAAAGGACACATTCTCAAATCGACGGCTGATCCACCGAGCGTTGAGAATAGTGAGAATCATCGAGTAACCGGCGAGCAACGGTGAACCGATTGTGAGGATGGCAGACATGAGGTTGTCGACTCTATGTCTTGCACCGAAAGGCAAGTGAGAAATGAGCGCAAGGTAGGGTAACAGCCAGGCGCTGAACTGCTGCGAAATGTTCGCCCAGTTTGGCTTCTGTGTTCCAGAGCCGCAATGTGAAAGACACACGTCATAGGTGAATCCGACTGCTGTTAAGATCTCCGACGACGAGTTTGCTACATTTCCACCAGTGGCATTGACTAATCCGAATGCGTTGAGTGTATGATTCGCATTATTTCTGAAGTTGATAAAACAGTCAGTAAAGTTGACCGCGGACGCCCCTTTGAGAGACGTGAGCAGTAGAAGAAACAATCGGATCTCTGGGCGAATGGTGAGCAAAAGTCAAGACTAGACGTTGGACTCACTCATTGTGTCGCGCATTAGCTGCATCATAGGGCAGAGTGACCCTATGGATTTATATAAGGGAGTTCCCGATACGTAAGCCCCAGAGAACTGGGGATAAACTGAATGTCCAAAAACCGTTGAACATCGTTACACAGAACCTTTTGTCCAAACCTGGCGATTCGTTACTAACTGATATCTGAACTTTGAAATCATACAGGAACTTACCGTGTCCGGTTTCACCCGACCTCTAAATCAAGTGAGAACGTTCACTTCAAAGTCAGGAATTTCGCAAATACTATACCTATGATTGACACAATAAGTCTAATGATCTAGAGAGACATACTCCAAATGCTGCCTTCGAGGAAAACCAGGCATGCAGTTCGACTCGGAAGCAAAGCAAAGAGCTTCGTGCCTGTGTCTATCATGTATATGTGGGGGTTGTGGATTGGTTGAACATTGAACCAGACTTGGTCGGCACCGCAAGATTGTTTAGATAGCGGGTTACAGATATGCATCTGATCAGTAAATGGAAGGAATCGGCCTTGAGCGTTTTACGTGGCATGCACTCCCGATCCGCAGTGCATTGCTTGTTGTGCAGAGCCAACGAGTGTAATAGTGTATGCATCGAAGCTCTGGCTCGCCGACAAGGGAGACAGCCCATGACTCAGTGGTAAGGCCTGAATCCTGATGCATTGATGGTTCGAGTCAGATTGAGGCTTGCCAGATTGCAGTGACCCGTGATCATGATATCGGATATCCATCCGAGGACGAAATTTTCAGCATCCCAATATTACATAATATTTTTTGGAGTCAAGTACTTAGAAGGTACCTATGCACTGCCAGGCAGTACTTCGTTCTTTCAGTCACTCGCGTCGGTATCCCACCACCCTCAGTCTAATGGCTGAACAATCCGACAGTACTTTGTCACGCATGTTGCATCAAGCGCATCCATCATCCATGGCACGTAGATTCAGACTTCCCACGAATTTTGTTCTGAATGTTACGGTGGAACAGGGAATCAAACCAAAAAACTACGCCGCAGTGAACGTTCTAAATCTCACCACTTGACGAGTCATTTTGTTATCGACCGTCGATTCGAGAACGATATCTGCTGTGAAAATTCTCCTCACACCTCTTGAGTCTTCGAAGCCACGTTTCCCAGCATCCATACATACGGACAACCGTTCAAGCTCCCAGAAATATCCTACGTACTCCGCATTTCCCAGCGTATATTAATGGACGGTCGACCAATCTCCACAAAATATCCTACATATTCCGCATCTTCCAGCATACGGATAGTCATCTAATCTCCGCGAAGAATAGCACGGCATTCAGGCTAAATCATTACACATTACAAGATACTCCTCGGTCACTTCACAGGCTCCCTCTCGCATGTCGATGGTTTCTTCATTTCCTGTTCCGCACGAGGCACTATAATTGTGCGTGAATTGGGATTTTTATGTGGATCGACATAGGTTACATAGAGTTTTGCCGCGACTTACCTTGTTCAGTGTTTGCCCCTCTTGATCGAGAGGTAACTGCGATTCTCCGTTGATCGCGACATAAACAAGGACTATGTAGACGTCTTGTAAAAAAATTACATTTGGTCTCGAAACGTCAAATTTCAAATGCCGGGTTCACGCAGACGGCGGTGACGAAAGGTGAAGGGAGCGTGGGAGGGAGACACGTTTTGTGAACTGCTCGATATCGTACCCATGATCTTTGAAGCAGCGTAGACGTCTCTACTTCCAAGCTGTGTAGGACCAGGTGTCTGGCTAGGGGAGTGCTGTAAGATGTGCGTACGAATCATGCATTTTTCGGCTTAACACTGTAACAGATCACATATTACCCCTCCGCCGCCGAAGGTGAGACGAGTTCCATGGAAATTTTACCTTGAACACGTTATCTGATGATGCTATGCTCCCCCAGGTTGATATCGGCTATGAGAGTTGACTCGCACATATACTGTTACATCATGACCATGGCTGGAGAGTACGGAGTATCTCTGCCGGTTCGGTGGCTGCTGCTCTTATGAGTACTGATGCACGACAGATGTCTCTTCTCAGCCACATCCTGGCGGAGTCCTTCGACACAGTGGTGTTTTTCCTAGGCATCTCTCGTGCGCAAGCAATATATCCTGGTCCTCGTAAAACCAATCCGTGATTGCCCCACTTACTATGGTCCCTGCAATACCCCCGTTCCTTGTGTTAACGAGGTGCGCTGCGCTCCATGGACTCACTTTAGGATTTGAGATGTACATAAATTGCATCCTCGCTTTTGAGACCCTTTTCTTTTTATTCGTCTATGTACTTGCAGACACTTGCACCAAGCCAACGCCAACAACACAGATGCAAGTTCTTTCTGTTGCCACGATTTTTCCCTCCATATTGTGAATGATTCATACCAGAGCAGTGGTATCCTACAATGACTTTGTGCCATGTGGAAACGAGCGCTTGTGGATAGTCACGGTGAACACCAGTCATTTCCACAGCCGTTTCGTCAGTGAACTCTCGCATGCAGCCACATCTCTGGTCTATTGTTCATGTGCTACCACGCTTTATCTTGTCACCACTTTTCCACAGGTGCTTAGGCCTCCACTCCTACCTTCCACACTTTTCCACTACGTTTGTATCGTATAAGACGCCATGTTTTATCGCTACTCACTCATCATCTCCCACCGCTCAAAGTTTTCAGCAGTCAGCTTTCATCTCTCAAAGTCCTACTCTTCTCCTTAGATCTTTCATTTCTACCCGAATCATGGAACAAGTGTGTTCAAACCTAAAGTGCTCTGCAGTCATCCCGATCCTGGAGGTATGTTTTTCCTGTTCTGCTGTTGTCTCAATTCACATTTCTTCGTGTGCAGGGTCAAGAAGTAGCAATGTTCGACCGCAAGTCGATGTGCGAAAAGTGCTATGGCAAACCGATTTGCGCAAAGTGCGACCGTTTGTTGCACGTAAGATGATTCTCTTTTGGTCTCCGGATATTATGCTAATTTAGACCTTCACCTGCAGGCGCCGCTCCCGATTATCCCCGCAAGACAAATCGTGCCAGTAAGTGTTTGACTTTCCCTTCATTTTGTCGCTAGAGTGCTGACCCCTACAAAAGGTATATGAGGAACCAGAGGCTTGCCAGATTGAAGCAATCCACACGTGTCTCCCGAGACCCAAGCCGGGCTACGCGATCAGGCGTGTACAAGTCCCCGACGGGGAGGGTGGTATGCGTTACAAGTACATTTCTCGCCGTGTGGAACAGCACACCCACGCCAAGCTGGTGAACCGTGTCAAAAAGTTATTTCATTTTACCAAGCGGGGCTCTCAGAATTAGGAGGTGCTGAATGTTTGCACCAATTATTAACCATTCTGGACCGTATTTTTATATCTACTTATTATATATGCACAACACCATACTACCTTATATCTAACTAAAGTTCATTGTGTACTACAAACTTGCGCATATTCTCCTCTAAACCACCCTTTATATCTGCCATGGGCTCGCAAGTATGGTCCGTATGACATAATCAGAGGAAGATAGGTGCGCAGGAACAGGGCTAGTTGACACCGTATCGCACCTCGCTCTGTCGGACTGAGTTCAAATAATGTGGGCTCATGTAAGACGGAGAACAGCTCGATCTCGTTGGTGCCCAGGAGCAGTAGCGACTTCCACGTGCACGATGGTATCGTTTGATCATACGACAACAAAAACCTGGTATGGTGACGTGCATCACCATACAGCAAGTTGACCCATCGACAGCATACTACTTCAAAAGAAATGTTCAAACTATGCAAGGAATATACTTTATCGCATCATCACAATATCATCATGCGTATCATACAAAGCCCCAATTTACCGTCCAGAACGGACCAGAAAGTCGAGATGACACTTGCAAGTTCAATCCCTGGGCCTGGGCCTCCAACGTGTACCATCTCTCGGCAGTCTCGTAGGACTTCAATACTCACCAGATAGGCCACACAGACTAACTGAAAAAAAACCTCCTACATGATGACATACTAGAGGCTAGTTACGAGGGTCCTCAGACCTTGGAAGATAACACTTGGCTGTAAATTCAGTGGCGTTCAAGATGGCTGGGGCGGGGGGCAATAGAACATCATTACCACCTTTGAGTACCTACTGTGTCGTGCAATCAAGACTGATGTTATCGATTAATTTGGCAGAACGATCACCATATGCTTCAGTATCCGCTCTATGCAGACTTTGTTAGCTATGGATCATGCATGCGAGGCGTCAGGAGCCTACAATCTGTTGGTCGTCATCCTGTGACGGACGCCCGAGAAAGTATAATACGAGCTAGGAGAGCTCATTTCATCTCGATGTGCAAACCCAACTTACTGGGACTGGGGCTTGCTCTACAGGAAAAGATGTTTATAAAGTGGGAGTTCGTGAATGGGAATCTCGATGTGCAAACCCAACTTACTGGGACTGGGGCTTGCTCTACAAGAAAAGATGTTTATAAAGTGGGAGTTCGTGAATGGGGTGAGCGTGGTGGGGTGGAATTTCAGAACATATTGCAACGGGCAGGAGTTTTCAGCATCGATCATGAACATCTATAAGCCACTGATGGAACGTCAGCTAGCCGTTCCGCGATATCAAGATTGAAAACGGAGAGGCTACTCATCACGCCAAGCCACCCTCGACCAGACATCTTGTAGGTCAAACCTTGCTTCATGAACGATGACAGATAAGCCACGCCACGCCATAAGATGCCACACCGTGGTGACCGTACGGTCTGCAAATGACATGTCAGACATGGAAATAATCTCAGAGTCGTGCACGTGCCGATTGATATGCCAGAGATGGAGGTACATGCGCGTGGCCAGGATCGTAAGGATAAAGGCCTGAAAACCAGACATGTGTATGTGAGGGTTCTGTCAGTAGAAATCGACAACAGAAGTTACAAATGCATACTCTTCGGGGAGGGGGTCATATGCGGGCTGGGTGTGCGCAATATTAGTGACTTAATCATATCGACGGGTATAATGACGTTCACGCACATCAGAAAACATTACTGGTTCAAGGACATTCACGGCCGAGAACTTTCGAGATAACAGTCATCACCGATGAGGACGGAAAGACATCGGCGTGCCGACTCACACAGACTACATGCGTAATAGAATATGTTGGGCTTCACCAGAACGGCGCGTGTATTGTTGTTAGACGTTCGCCGCTAGGTCTGGACGACACGTATGAGTGTTAAGAAGACAAGTCCTTGGGGAGCGTTAGTCATCGCGTATAATGTAATGAATACTTTAAGTTCCCGGTGACATACCCAGTTGAAAGACAAACAAGAAAAGAAATGGCAAGAATTGGACGCGGGTTGAGCTCCGGTAGCAGCCTGTGATACCTGGGATCGCGCTAGTCGTCACTGTGAGGTGCAGCGAACGCGTGCGAATAGAAGTGAGGGAAGGTGAGAGCACAAACCATCAGAAGTAGCTATCACGCTAAAACATATGCCGATGAACGATGCCATGACAGCCTGGCTGATCGATTAACCATAAAATCGATGTTGAGGGCATGGTACTCACAAAAAGGGCGGACAACATGGCTACAAGTACGATCTTATTGTTGTTCCAAAGGGCATATGTCCTGAATACGAAAAAGCCTGGAGGAATGGAATCAGAAGCACGTGTATGTTGCGGATGAATGAGAGATACATTCAGAGCAAGTGAGTGATATCACTGCGAAACCTGTGAAAGGAAATAGCAACGCTCGGTAAGGATGTGCGTGTAGCATGTGCCGTGCACATACCTGAGTAAATATCGATAGGCATCTTGCATTGCTATGTCATACAGTCATTGTAGTCAGCGTCATTCGCCGGCGGGTAGGTAATTTCGCTGCATATTCACATACTTTTAAGGTCTCGTTCGGGGAGAAATTCACTTAAACAAAACACGTCAACTCAATGGCCGCCATGGGAGGGACATATGCCGGATTGAACGCACGAAGTATGTCCAATATGACAAATACAAAAGGGACATGCCCTGCAATGATATAAAGGACTTTTACCTTAGTCCAGCGCGACCATCCACTTTAAACAGCGTGTGATCAACATTTGAACCGAGACACATCGCAGCACAAGCGCATCACTTCTTCTTGAAGTGAACAAACATAATCTACGCCTAGATAAGCGAGTTTAACGGCAGACAGGAAGATATCAGAACAAGCTTACCCAGAATGTCGACATCGACGCTGAGCTATCACGTTAGATCGCGGAACAAGTAGTTCAAACGTACTGCATGTGTACTAGTGATTCATGGCATGTCTGTCATTGTCTTGTCATCGTGTTGAGAAAGCGACGCACCGCTAAGTACTGCAGACTCTTGGCCGCTACGATTTCGTCAGCTGAATATTCCATCTGCATTCGTTCGAGGTAAAGGGGGGGGGGGGGGCTTTACGCGCTCATCATCACCTTCTCAAGTATCTCGTCTTTGAACCCACCGTAGTCTTAACCTTACTGATGTAAGGACACCATGATTAGGCTTAGCTTGTCAATGACAGTCTTGATCGGAGCTGTTAAACTTGATAAAAGTTCCAGGACCTAGATCTGAATAGGTACTGGTCTAACCATTTTACCGTACCTCGGTGTATGGAGACAGCCGTAAGGCCTTGGTTTTGGTTTTGTATAGAGGTGCCGGGACTACTAGTAGTGGCCTACCGTACGCCGGAATGCCCCGGCACTTGTACGTCCCGAGCGAACACTGTTCGCTTCCCACATTCATTTTTCTCAGCCACAACGTCGAGTTCGCCGTAACTCGCACCTCCTCACCCACACCTACAGTTTTTCTTTAGACATTCTTTTTTGGTATAGCCGAGCACCTCAGTATTGAGCTCAGTAGCAGAGCCCCAGCTACTCATCAACCCACGGCGTCGTCCCAGGTTCGAATTCCCACCCAGCACTATCCGCGAGGCAATGCCATCTACCGCGGGCAGTGGAGATACTGCCGATCTAGGGCTACCAGTCTATACTGCGCAGCAATCAAACTCACAGGGTACGCAGCTTTCCGCACATCAACACACTCGGCTTTCCACCGCGCAAGCTGCGCACTTAATTCGGTACTTCGCATACTGTTCACGCAACTAACAGCAGTACAGCTAGCAGCTGCTCAGCCCTAGATTAATCATGCTCCCATGGATGAGATCGGCGCTCTGAAGGCACAAATTACCGAGCTCGAGCACAGGAGCCGGCAACCATTTACCTGCCGGAGCACCTGTACCTCGTCAAGTTTTGGTAGAAGACCCTGGAGCTGTTGACGGCACCTGACCGAGTCTGGCCAGTGTTAAGGACGAGTCTAAACGACCCCACTTTGCCTGCCCTCCGGCCAGGAAACAAGTTAGTCTGATCTGCATGAGGTACCTGAACAATCATATTGTAAAAGCTATTGTACTTTGATGTGTTGCAGAGTCCCGTAAAGAGCAGAGCCTTGGGGCATTGCATTTCCTGTGGCCATCGCCATCACGCCCTGATGCAGTCTGAAGTTTTTGTCATTACATAGAACGACGGCAGTAAATGGAAACACAGCAATCGTAAATGAGAAAACAGATTCGTCCACCAGGCTATGGAAGTACGTACTGTGCTAGGTCAGCACATGTTTCACCATGGTTAGGGTAGGGTGACCTTGTCTTGTTCTCTGAGGTCTACCTGAGGTAGGGTGCCCCCAGGGATGAGCTACGAGGTGCCAGATGCCTATAATTGGTTAGTCGCTGTCCTGTGCCAGACGCCTGGAAAATATAGTATGATCCGCAAGAGCCTATTTCATCTATGAGCTTGATCTGCAGCAAAAGTGATCTACGTTCGTGAATAGAGTGACCGTGGTGGGATGAGAATCCAGAACATATTGCAACGCGCGGGAGTTTTCATCATTGATCATGAATATCTACACAGTTTATGTAGCGCCGGCTTTGCGATGAGTCAAGATTCAAAACAGAGAGGGTACTCATCGACCAGTCATCTCGTAGGTCAAACCTTGTTTCATGAACGAGGCCAAATAAGCAAAACCACGTTATAAGACTTCACACCGTAATGACCGTACGATCTGCGGATGCAGATGACATGTCGGACATGGAAATACACGTCGTGAGGGTCTCGCAGCTATACACCTGCTGGTCGATATGCCAAAGATGGAGGTGCATGCGCGTGGCGAGAAGCGCAAGGACAAAGGCCTCCAAACTGGACATGTGTATGCGAGGGTGCTGTCAGCATAAATTGGCAATACAAGTTGGAAATGCATACTCTTCAAGGAGGGAGTAATATACAGCCTGGGTGTGCGGAATATCAGTGACATATCGATGGATATAGCGACGATCACGCACATCAGAAAACATTACTGGTGCAAGGACATTCACGGCCGAGAGAACTTTCGAGAGAACGGTCATCATTGATGAGGGACAGAGAGATATGAGTGTGCTGACTCACACAGACCGCACGCATAGTAAAATATATTATGCTTCACCATAACGGCGTAAATATCGCTATTGGACGTTCGCCAGGTTTGGACGACACGTATGAGCGTCAAGGAGACCAGTCCTGGGGGGAGCGTCAGTCATCGCCTCTAATGTAATGTATACTCCAAGTTCCCGGTGACATACCCAGTTGAAAGGTAAACAAGAGAAGAAATGGCAAGAAAAATTGGACGCGGGTTGAGCTCCGGTAGCAACCTGTGATACCTGGGATCGCGCTAGTCGTAACTGTGAGGCGGGGTGGGGTGAATGCGTGCGAATAGAAGTGAGGCAAGGTGAGAGCACAAACCATAAGAAGTAACGATGGCGCTAAAACAAATGCCGATGAACGATGCCATGACAGCCTGGCTGATCGATTAACCATGAAATCGATGTTGAGGGCATGGTACTCACAAAAAGGGCGGACAACATGGCTACAAGTACGATCTTGTTGCTGTTCCAAAGCGCATATGTCCTGAGCACAAAAAAGCCTGGAGGAATCGGATCAGAAGCACGTGTATGTCGTGGATGAAGGAGAGATACATTCAGAGCAAGCGAGTGATATCACTCCGAAACCTGTAAAAAACCGCAACGCTCAGCAAGGACGTGCATGTAGCATGCACCGTACACGTACTTGAGTAAATGTAGACCAGTATCTTGCATTTCTGGCGATGCCATGCAGTCAGTATGAGTCATTCATCGGCGGGCAAGCAACTCCGCTGCATATCCACATACTCTGGTATTCTCATTCGGGGCGAAATTCACTGAAACACAACATGTCAATTCAATATTGGGGGATGTATGCCAGGATTGAACGCACGATATATGTCCGTGATGACGAATAGAAAGGGGACATATCGCG